GCAGCAGTGGTGCCGCCCGTCGGTCCGCCGCTGCCCGGGCCCGGCCGGGCCCGGGAGCCTGGGCCGGGCCGGGACTCAGTCTTCAACTTTCAGGCGGCTTAATGACCGCTTAACTGAAACTTTCAAAGTTGAAACGTCCGACGGTCCGACCCGGCCCGGGTCACCGGGCGCCGGGCTGGGCCGCGGGGTCAAGTTTCAAGCCTATTATTCAAAGTTGCCGCTAGTACCGTCCACTCAGGCCAGGCTGGCCCACAGGGCCAGGACATTGGCCGATCATCACGAGAGTAGACCGTGCCGTCACTGAGTGTCCCAGGCTGATCCGACGGCGGAAGGCTTGACCCTGACTGGGACACCGTGATTGTGGCACAGTGGCAAACGGTCCGGCGGAGAAGGTCGGCGGCGCCGCGTGGCGAGCGGTACGGCCAGGCCGGGCCGGGCGGCCCCCGGCCGCGCCGAGTCACTCAGTGACTGACGCCCGTACCGTACGGTAGTACCCGGGCCCGGTCGGGCATCGGTCAACCGGGGCGGGCCTGTTTCATCTCAGCCTTCAAACTAGTACCCCTACCCCTACCGTCTCCATATAGGGGATATTCCATGCTACCCCTACCCTTCTTTTTAGACCTCCCTCACCCCACCCACCCATGGCTCCCATTTTACTCCCCGAATACCACCCAACCCCATTTTCTCGTTACAGACCTAATTCTACCCCACCCTATGCAATTTCACCCCAATTCGCCCTTACATTGACCCCTACCTTCATCTTCGTCGACTGAACTTCATTCAAACCACTACCCCATCTACTACCCCCACCCCCCTTTACAAAGACTCCTACGATGTGCAGTCTTTCATTGTACCCCCACCCCCAGATAACTCTCAATGCATCCCCACCACCCCCGTTCTCCTAGTAAATACAGCACCCCCTGGTTCGTGAACCCTACCCATCCTATACACAATTTGGATTGCAATGGCGAAACTGCGTAGAGCGTTGGCTCTCGTCGCAGTGCCCTCCTCCTCATTCACCACGTTGCCCTCCTCCTCCTCCTCCTCCTCCCTCTCTGCTTCTTAGACTACACACCCTCCCTTCCTTCCTCGGTCGTCTCTAGCTTCCTGTCCCGGGATGTGCTGAAGCAGAGCTGGCGGTCAACCCTGCTTTCCCTGAGGATGCAAACAACAGGCAGCGATACGTATGATCCCTCTGACAGCACCGACATGGCAACATCCGAGAATCAGTCAGGGGTAGACGATGCTCAGATCAAGAGCAGCGAATCTTCTCAGGATGCAGCGGCGGCGTTGCAACGAAACGAGGAGAAACCTGCTCAGCACATTGTGCAGAGCGGAGAGACGCTGGCAGGGATCGCCATTCGCTACGGCACCAACGTGTCAGACTTGAAGAAGCTCAACCGGCTCCTCTGCAGCGATCTCTATGCCGGGCAGGGCCTGCAGGTCCCATGAAAGCGCGCCGTGCGGGTACAGGAGAGGACTGAGACTGTTTGCAGTTGCCGGTCAATCAGATGGCAGCGGAGAAGATTGCGAAGAAGAACGAGGTGGGTTCATGATCCTTTGTTGTCACTAGATGCTCTCTCTCCTTGAGACTTGAATGCTTGTTCGCTCAAATGACATGATGAATCACTCTTCGCTCGCCAAGGCTTCGTCGGCGGCCGCGGACGACGGTGGAACCGACGAGGCTACATGCATCTACGACACAGTTGCTGTGTGGGACAGAGAGTCAGGTGACTGTTTGCCGTCTCATGCTCGTCGCTGACGCAAGGGGCGAAGGCTTCTTGTCATTGAGAGCGGAGCAGGAGGTACACGAGGGTCAGAAGGTGCCATGCACAATCGTGGGGTCGCTCTTCACGCCTGTACAAGACATGCTCCTCTCGAAGGTGCTCGCAGTCCTTGTAGGTATGGCTCCTGATGTGTTGGTGTAGATCTCGATCTTCCTGCGGCTCGTCATGGGGGACACCCTCGAGTTCAAGGTGGTGGTCAGGATATGGAACGGGCACAGGCAGCGAGACGTCTCCAAGAGCATGGCAGGCCTGGTGGAGACTGCCTGCGGGAACCCCGAGGAGGTTCTGTTCTCCTCCTCCGTGTTGACCATCCAAAGGCAGGTAAGGAGAGAGGCAGGCTGTTCTCCGTCTCTGTGGTCCTGTGCTGAGCGTTTCTTCCAGGGCACTGACGAGCCTGTCTACGAGGGCTTCGTGGTCGAGTGCGATCCCTCGGCGAACTCGCATGACTCTGCTGATCTCAGCATGTTCGCAAGGGCCCAGTCGAGCTGGGGGCTTCACCTGTCCGCGAACAAGACCGTGTTGATCGGAATCAGCACCGAAGGGATCCAACAGTCCCCTCAGTCCGAGGCGCAGGTCGGGTACGTCAGGCGGCACGTCGCCGGGCCCATCCTGCACAAGTTAGTCTGGGTGAACGGCAAGCAGGAGACAGAGAAGGGATTGAGGAGGAGGTTCGACAGCACGGATCACACCATCGCAGCCATGCTTGTTACGCACTCAGCGCCCTGCCGTCCTCATCCGATCGTTCTCACCCTCGACTCCAACGAGAAGCTGATTGGCGCGGAGGAGGTGGACTTCGAGCTGGAGGATGAGGCTGCTGTGCAGCACGTGCTGGAGGTCGCGTCCTCCAACGAGACTCTGTGCCTGCAGGAGGAGATGTTGCAAGGAGTTCTCGACCAGCACGAGCTGAGCATCGACGATGCCCCGCTCTTCGTCGGCCGCAACGACGAAGACGAGATGATCGGGGTGTGCTCGGACATCATCAGCTGGCCTCAGGACGTCTTCCAGCTCAGCGAGTCGCTTCCTCGACGGTATGTTCCCTTGTGCTCCGTGGGCTCCCGTGACCACCGCGTGACCTCTTCCGCAGATGCTCCCAGTGCGACTGGGAGCTCCTGTACAGCACGAAGAGGAACGGGCTGAGCATGAACACATTTTTCCGGCTCGTGACGGGCCGCAGGGACACGATCATGCTGATCAAGGACTCGGGAGGCAGCGCGTTCGGAGCCTTCATCCCGTTCCCCTGGAAGCAGTCCAAGGATTTCTATGGCACGGGGGAGAGCTTTGTGTTCCGCATGAAGCCGACCTTGGAGCTGTTCAAGTGGGGGGGCAACGACTCCATGTTCGCGCTCACTAACCACCAGGGGATCCTGATTGGAGGGTCGGGCAGCCCCGCGATCTGGATCGACAGCGACTTCAACAGGGGGACGTCAGGGGCGAACAAGACGTACAGGAGCAGGTTGGGCGGGGCTGCACGCTCCCTCCTCTTCCTCCCCGCCCCCGTGCGCGGGGGTTTCTGCGTGCTGCCTCCCCTTCGACCTCCCCAACTCTTCCCCTCTTTACTGTGCTGTTGCCCGAACCCGCTGCTCTCCCTTTTGCTCTCTGCTTGCCAACTCGACCTTCCCCTTCCCCTCGCTGCCATGCGCGCTGAGCTGGGCCCAGGTGTCTCGCCAGCGATGAATCCTTCACCTGCATCCACCTGGAGGTCTGGGCAACCTTGCAGAACACGCACCAGTCGATGGCGTTCCTCCTCAACCGCAAGGACATCCTCCTGCAGATGATGATCGACCACCAAAAGGCTCTTAGCATCACCCTGCGTAAGTCCAGCTCGACGTCCTCCCTCTCCGACGTGCAGCAGAGCCATCCGCCAGCGCAGGCAGCGGAGGCCGAGAGGGAGGAGAAGGTGGAGAGGGAGGAGGAGGTGCATGAGACGAGGTTGGATGGCCAACCGACCTCCTCGCCTCCCGATGACACGGAAACAAGTCAGGAGCACCAGCAGGTGCTAATCGAGCCCTCATCCATCCCCCCAAACCCTCCTTATCCTCCTCCTCCGCATCTCCCTTTTTTTTTTCAGCTCCTCCTGCTCCTCCTGCTCCTCCTCCTGCTCCTCCTTCTCCTCCTCCTCCTACACCTCCTCCTCCTACACCTCCCGTGTCCCCTTCCTCCCTGCCGCATCCTCCATCCGTCAAAAAGTGAATATCCTGTGCAGCCACGGCCTCTTGGCTCACACCAGCGACCCAAGGCAAAGTGGACAGGAGAGGAGGTGACCTTGCTTGCTCCTGGTCGTTCTCGTTGACCCGCCCTCAGGTCCCCCTCGATGGCAAGTCGGATGTTTTTACGGACGTCGCAACGGGCGAGTGGATTGTGGGGCTCAAAGTCAAAGTCAACCTCCTCCAGGTCATTCTGAGCCTCGCCAACCGCCCCCCTCACTCCTCTCTCCTCCCTCCTCGCTCCTCCCCCCTCGCTCCTCCCTCCTCCTCCTCCTCCTCCTCCTCCGCCCTTCTCTTCCGCCTC